TGTCCAAAGTGAGTCATGAACAGCACAGGCGCTCCATTAGGAATTCCCTGGAAAGCAGGGCTCTCCTCACCCGATAGTAACGTGGTCAGGGAAGCTTTATTTTTGGGTAGAGCTTTCATTGTCCTGGGGCAGGGAGGATGCCCAGAAAGGGGGGAAATGACACCCTTTCCTTGGCTGAAACCAGGGAAGAGGTTGATGTGCACGACTCTGGAGCGTTTGTCTCATCCCAGTGACATCTGTGGTGCTTCAGAATAGACACTGTGTTGGGGTGACTCTCTGAGATGGATTAAAGTTCTCGTGTAAAAGGTGTTTCATGAGGCAAATCAGCCTCAGGTTTCCTCTGGTGTCCTGCTGTGGGCTGAGTATTTACACAGGCCGGGTTGGACAGGGCTTGGAGCAACCTGGGATAGCGGGAGGTGTCCCTGCCCAGGGCAGGACCAAGATGGTCTTCAAGGTCCCTTCCAACCCAAACCACTCTGGGATTCTATGATTCCGTATTTATTTATTTATTTATTTTTAACAGAATTACTTCTGAGGTTGCTCAGAGCCCACTCCAGCCTGGCCTTGAACACTTCCAGGGATGGGGAGTCCACAACTCTTCTGGGCAAAAAGACTTGTTTGTCCACGGTGTGGGATTTTTCTGTGGAAAATTCCAGCGCCCTCAGTGGAAAAGGAGTTGTAAATCCAGTGTGTGCCTCTTATCAGCAAGATGTTTTATTTCATCTAGAGAATAAATCCACAGGGAATTCCATTTACACGTCAAGGGTGACCCGCCTAATACTCGAGAAGCTTTCCTGGGCAGAGTTAAAGTGGGAATCTCCCAGGAACACATTCAAAGAGGGAAAACTGGTCATGATTTACATACAAGAGGGTAGATATTAGGAAGAATATTTTTTTTACAATGAAGGTGTTTGAATATGCAGTAAAGCCTGAGAGCTGTTAAAATGTGTTTGACTGGGGGGGTTATTTTACTTTTGTTTTAAAACAGGGTGAATGTCTCTAACAGGTAAGAAATGGGTTAGAAAGGGCATAAAAATGTTTTGAAATGGGCTGGAGCTTGTGAACTCTTCTAATAGCACTTGTGATATTCCAGGTGGTGGGGAGACCTGAGGGGACGTTAAGAATGAGGCCCCTGATGGTGGAAAACTGGTGAAAGGCAAACCAGCTTCTGTCTTTAAAATGGAAAAAAAAAAGAGAGAGAGAAGAAAATTAAAAGAATAGAAAAATATAGTTGGAAAAGGAAGTAAAACTTACCTTGCAAGTACAGAAAAGATGCTGAAGAATCACAGTTGACCTGCTGGAGCTTTTTTCTGAAGTCTGTAGGAAGAGAGGACACAAACTGATGTGAGTAGAACTTGAAAATAAATAAACTTGGGACTCCTTCCTGTGAGAGTCTTGTTTGGGGTCGTGGTGTAGGAAGGGTGCAGAGCTTTATTCACTGCAATTATGGAGGATTTCATGTCAAAATGGAAGGGCTGGTCAAGCAGAACCAAACAGGTTCTGCCATCAGTGCACTGATGGTGTTTCTGCTGAAAACCTGATTTTAGCAGTGTGTCCTGAGGCTCTGCTAAGTCAGGCTCAGAGTTCCACCGTCCCAAATTCCTGAAAAAACTTCAGGAAGGTTAAAAACCCAGTCTAGGCCTCGATGCCAGCAGGGGGAAATGCCGCTCAGGTGCAGTTCTGTGAAGGGTTTGGGGATTACTGGGAAGCACGAGTGGGTTTGGGATCAAACCAGCTGGTTTGAAAGGGGCCAAAATCCACCATGGGATGTAGAAATGTCCAAAGGAATCCATTAAAATGCAGGAGGAGTTTTGGGGTTGGGGAGGAGGGGGAGGAATTTTGATTAGATCCAAGGAAAAAAGTTTCATATTGAGAGCAGGAAAGCACCAAAAAAAAACCAAAAAAACAAAAACACATGTAGGAACCTTCATGAGCTTTTTTGGAAGCCTTGGCAAGATGTGGCACTTCGGCCTTTTTGTTGGTTGTTCGCAAGTTTGGTTTTTGCTGAAGTCCTAAAAAAGCTGCATTCCAAGAAAAATGAATCCAGGTAACGGAAGGGAAATTAATTCAGCATCTCTGTTCTCTTTTAATTCAATGGAATACTTAGATTTGCCTTTTATATATTAATTTTCTGTGTTGTCCATGAGTCTATCAATCAACATTTCTGGGTATGTGTAACCTTTTTTTTTTTGGGAATACGCTCCTTTATTTTAGAAGTGCTTTAGAGAACTGCTGGTGATGTTTACACAGAATTAGGAGTGATGTTTAATACAGAATTAAATGTGGTAGGAAAAAAGAATCTCTTTCTGTGGCTTATTTGTGCTGTGAAACTTTTATTAACACAGATTTTTATTTTATTAATTATTATTTTTCTGATTTTTTTCTAATGAGAGATGAGGAGACAAACCATCAGGGGTTTTTAGTTGCCTGTAAAAACTGAATAAACATACTGAGAAAAATAATGGAATAAATTTTAGCTTCCTGTGCACTATCACATGGGGAGGAAAATCAAATGAAATTCTCCTTCAGGGGGGAGCAGGAAACATTTTTTTTGACAAAAATCTGCTTTTTAATGCAAAAAAATCTAGTGCTTCAGAGGGATATTGTAATAAGATCTTTTGCCTCAGGCTTTGCTAGTTATAATAATTCAAATAGTTTAATTGATTTCTTGGAGAAAACTCAGCTTGTTTAGATGTCTGCAAACTCTGGCTAAAATAATTTGGCATCCTTTTACTTCCAGCTGAAGAGTTTGGATGAGCATTTTCGGAGCTCAGACAGATCCAGTTTTCAAGTGCAAGGAAAGATTTTTTTTTTTTTTTCTGTGTCTTAAAACTGCTTAAGTTGCTGTTTAAAGCACATTTTCCTGATGTTTGGGAAGAAAACACTCGTGGAAAAAGCACCAGAGAGGGTGGTTTGGAGGCAGAGCAGAGGCTTTGGTGTCACCGTCCCAGGGGCTGCCAAGTGGGACTGATGGAGTTGCATTTGTCTTACAATTGACACCTCCAAGTAGTCATGACCACATATTAATTACCAAACCCTGGCCTGGAGGTGGAGCCTGCAAGGAGCTCATTAATTATGTCTGGATGGATGGTGGGAGAATTTTGCTGGTTTTTCCTGTTTTTCAGAGAAAGAACCACCAGCAACCTGTTACCAGTGGTTATGGAGCTGCTAACTGTGCCAGTGGTAAAAATGAATTTGTTATGACTTTGAGACTCTGATAGACACAGGTGGTCATTTACAAAAACAAAGGTGGAGATTGTGAAGTGTTTTCCCTGAGCTCTCCCTCAAAGGCAGCAACGTGTTAAAGGAAAGACCTTGCTCGTCTAATCCCCTAAGAATCCACCTCCTGCCTCTGGCCATTGCACAGTGCAGGGAAGTGCAAGCCAGGTGGGGTCATGCAGGGCTGGGGAACAGTTAATTTGCCTTGTTTTGCTCCCAAAGTGACTGATTTATTCCGAGTTCCAGGTGGGAGGTGGAAGATGTTCAGTTCGTGCCACGTTACAAATGATCCCGTTCAGAAATCGAATCGTGGAGAGTCAAAGATGTGCTGAGATCTGTTCCTAACAGGCCTTGAGTTAAGCTTCCTGTATCTTTTGGGGGTCTCTGTGAGCCTGTTGGTAGCAGATAAAAATTTAAAGTCTTCCAAACAGAGGGAAGAGCTGAGCACAAGGGGCAGTGTTTTTAAAAGAGGGGATGAGTTTGACAAAGCTGTCTCTGAACACTGCATGAAGTTACTCAGTCAGTGCACAGGCAGCTCAGATGTCCCCTGAGATCTGGGTACCTTTCTTTCCCTCAGTTCTCTTAACTTTATGGTTGGTTTTGATCCACCCTGGGTAAAGTCATAAAATCATAGAGCAGTTTGGGCAGGAAGGGGGTCTGAGCCACCTGGGTTAGTGGAAGGTGTCCCTGCCCTTGGCAAGGGAGTGGAATGAGATGAGCTTTAAGGTCCCTTCCAACCCAAACCATTCTGGGATACTTCGCCCCTTTTTCAACCCCTCCTTTCAAAACCCCGAATAAAACACCCTTTTGCTGCCCTGAGGGTGTTTTTGTGCCCTGAGGAGTGATTTAACACGACGTATCTCTGTGTCTTCAGACCCTTGGGCTGTGCAGCACCTTATCTGCTTTGTTTACTGCCAAAAATAAGCCTATCTTGCAGCTCACCCCTGATAGTTGCACAGAGCTGAAGTGGCTGTGGGGGGAGCCTGCTGGGCTCTCTTCTACCTCCTCTGTCCTCAGCAGAAATCAGTTTTAAATTTAAATTTAAAACGCTGTGATTGCTAATGAGAGTCGGTGTGAATTCCGCTTTTAGGAAATCGTTTAAAAAATTATAAATTTTACTGGGAAATATGGGAATTATGATCTTGAGCCTCTGAGATGGGCTGGAGGTGCAGCTCAGGGGCGTTTTTGCAGACACTTTGTATTCCTGAGGCACAAAGGCGAGGAGATCCATAACCCATTTGTACAGATGAGGTTAAGAAAGGGAGATAGGCGCTTTTTTAACTTGCTGTTTGTTTGCCATTGTACCAGCTCCTGCCTGGGAGGTTATAAATAAACCTACTATTGATCCGATGCCTTTGGAGAAGAATTCCCATGCGGTGTGTAACGCTGATAAGTCGAGTTCCCTAGTCCCTGTGTCACACCCAGCACTTGGCTTTGGGATGGCCCCTCGAGGAGCGGTTCTGACCCACCTTGTCCCAGCAGCCTGACCCCAGATCACCAAAAAACACACCTCTGATGGTGTTTTTTTTTTCCCCCCCACCACCCACCTCCCGTTGCTGGAGTGTCCCAGCGAGTCCCTCAAACGCTGCCCTTTCGCCTCCGTCCTGCGGGAAATTTAATCTCGCCGGTAAATGACACCCGGAGCTATTTTGGAGCTGGGCTGCAGAGGGGAAAGCAAAGCACGTCAGCAATTTGTGACTGGGGGAGGACAACCCAGGGGAGGGGTGGGGAGGGGGGTGGCACAGCCTAACCCTGGGCGGCAAAGCTACTGCTGGGGGACTTTGGGGGGACCTTCTGCCGCACGTCCCTGCCATCCATCGCTGGGGTTTCTGTTTTATTTTCCTGGAGGGGGAAGGGGGGGGGGGAAACCCAAGCCAACATGGTCTCCCCATGTCCTCTGTTCCCCTCTTCCCTCTTCCCCCTTCTGTCATCTCAGTAGGAATCGGCTTTTTCTTACCCTGCCCAGAGCTTTGTTCTCCTCAGACTCAGACAAGACTCCAGGTAAGACCTAAAGCTTCAGCTAAGGAGAGTTGGATTTGGGGGATGCTGGTATTTCCAGCAGGAAGTGGAGAGTGTTTGTAGCTGAGGGAGGGGTGGAGGTTGTTTCTGTGCCGTGCTGGAGTTTGTCTTGCTTTATGAAACAAAATTGGGGATGAAGCTGAAGGTTCAGGGTACAGGTCCATCCCCCCTCTGCTCCAAACCAAATGTGGTTTTTTTTGTTAATTACTTCTGGCCACGTTATCAAGAGAGCAAAGATCATCCTCCAGAGGAGAGGAGAGAAAAATCAGGTTTAAAGCTGTTGATTCTGCTTGATACGTTTTGCCCCCGAATTCGAGACAGCAGTGCTTGGAAAGCCTGGGAAACACGTGGTTCCTGTGGAGAAGCGGCAGCGAGGAGTGCTGTGAAAAGTTTTATTTCCAGGGCATAATCTCGGGGCTGCTTTTCTCTCTTTTTTCCCCCCCCCCCCCCGCCTCGGAGTCCCTGCCCAGTGTCAGCACAGGTTCGCTCTGCAACCCCCCACCCTCCTCCCGGTCCTCTGACGAGAGATGGGCAGAGATGGAGCCCGACAGCTGAGGCTATTTTGGGCCCTCCAGCTCAATGAGGTGGAGTGACTGCAATGACAATGACGTCCACTTGTTAAAATACGGAGGGTTTAGGTCGGAGCCGCTGCTGATTGTCGCCGAGGGAATTCTTTGTCCGGGTGGGAGCGGCGATCCCGCGGCTCCCTCGCATAGGAAATGACATGTGCTGAACCCAGACCGTGTCTGCTTTCCTGGGATCTGCCACAGCTGCTTCTCTCCAGGGCTGGGTGTAAAGCAAAGGCCAGTTGGGTGAAATCTGTAAGGAAGTTTTTTTTTTGTGATGAAATTGCCAGAATTTAAATCGCTCCTTTTCTGTCCCCCGGGTGGCAAACCCAGAAGTTTTGCTTTTTCCTTCCATTCTCACCCCCACAGAGCAGGAAGGGGCATCACTGAGTGCCTGACACCTCCCTGGTGCTTTAGCCTTTTCTTGCTTCAGAGCAGCCTTGTTGCCTGTAGGCTCAGAAAAATAGAAGGGAAAGCTGCTGTCCTGGAATCTTGAGGGGCTGATCTGAGCAGTTTTAGGCCTCTGGAAGTTTCTGGGTTGGTTTCAGAGCTCCATTGGGGGTGGAATCTGAAGTGAAGCCCCCCATGCTGCAAGAAAGCCCGAGTAGGATGGTCCCTTCTCTGCATGGAGCTCTTGGAGCTGTTGGTGTGCGGTTGGAAAGTGCTTAAAAGAAGGATGAGCTTTGCAAGCAACGGGTCTGTTTATATCCAAGAGGAAAGATAATATGTGCTTTAACCACGTAAATCATCCAAGTGCCTTCAGTCTCCCGTGTTTTTCAATAAGTGTGTGGTACTAACATGTCTGGAAGGTGATCTGACTGCCTTGCCCAGGAGCTTTCGCAAACCACGTGATTTACTCTTGGTTCTTTTTGAAATTGTCTAAATGTTTTCGCTCCTTTTTTTCTACCACTCATTGGAAACACCCAGGTTGTTGATAAAGGATTGATAATGGGAGCATGAGGTGAGGCAGGTCCTTTCTGAGTCCCTTGGTGCATTTTTAGCCCTACCCTGAAGGTAAGAGTTGTGAGATGGCCTTGCCTCGAGCAGAGCCCTTTCCCGTGTCAGCCCCTGACCTGCAGTGAACTTTCCCTTAAAGGAATCTCCTGTGGGTGTTGGATGATGATGGAGGCAGTAGATGGCAGGGAGTGCAGAGCAGCCTTGCTCTGGACTGTTAGAAGCTCCTTGCACCAGGCTCAGTGCATTGCAGGGTCTCGGTGTCCGACATCTCCAGTGCAGGAGGTGGATCCACCACGGAAAGCTCATCCAGTGACCTTTGAACGTGCCAAAATGGGTTGTCCCTCACTGAAGTGGAATTCAGAGTAGCCCAGGCTTAAGCCCTGAGTCCAGCTCCTCAGCCACGGATCCCGTTCCTGCTCTGCCGAAACGGGCACGGGATAAATTCTGGGATCTCGGGTTCAGGCGCTGGTGCAAATCTGCGCTTACGCCTGACCTGGGGCTGTGATGGGCAGGCAGCGCTGGGTGTGCTGGTGTGCATTTCACCCCCAGAGCACACTGTCTGCTGTGGTGGCTCCCACCAGAGCCCGTCTGATGTCGCCCAGCCCGCGGCTGACACCGAACACTTGCGCTGTTTTCCAAGCTGTCCTCTCCCCGGGAGGCTGCTGGAAGCAGGAGGGGGTCACTGCTGCTTCCCCTCAGCAGGATTTTAAACATCAAAGGAAACCCACACTTCCCATCTGAAGACCCATCAACTTGCCTCCCCCCCCCCCCCCCGATTGCATTTCCTGATGTTTTCAGGCAGAACAATACACGCAGATATGTCATGTAAACTACAGCAATACCGGCACTGCCTTGATTTTTATCTGCAGCTTCTGTTTTAGTGATGTTCTTTGAAAGCTCAGGATCCAGAGGAGGGAGGTTCCCTGTGAACTTTGCCCTTCCCCTCAGGAAAGGAAGGAGTGCAAGGCTTAGAAGTTGGCATTGCAGAGGAAGTCCTGGAAACAGGAGCTCTAAAGGCAAGAAAAATACCCCAAATCAACATTTTTTTTTTTTTTGACTGGGGCAAAGAAAGGATAAAAGAGGATTGAGAACAGGAGCGTGGTGGGCATTCATGGGGTGTTGAGAGAACCTCAGTACCCTGTGTTTGAACTGTGTTTGTGATCTGTGTTTGGGCTTTGGGGATCTCTTAGGTTTAGGTTTATCCTCGCCTGGGCTTTACACCCCCGAAGTCTCCATTGTGCAGGTTTGCAACTCGTGGCCGCCTTTGCCTCGGGAATATTTTATCAGATGGATTGAATGGTGCTTTTTTTCACTTTACCCAGAGTCAGGGTGGGCAGGATTCCCTTTCTAACCACCAAAGTGAAAGGCTTGGACAGAGAATAATCTGCCACCCCTGTCCTCTCATGCCGAAGGGCATCGTCACAGGTTGCTGATGGCTTGGGGGGCAACAAGCCGTGGGGGGAGACCTCTGGCTCCTCAGGGGTCGTTCAAGGCTGTCCAGGTTCAGATCAGCGTTGAAGAAGCAACATGAAACCAACCCATGGGCCAGCAGAGCACAGTGAAACAGAGCAGGTCAGGGGATGGAGCCAGGCTAGGAGAGCTGGGGGGGTTCACCTGGAGAAGAGAAGGATCCAGGGAGACCTTGAGAGCTCCTTGCAGGGCCTAAAGGGGCTCCAGGAGAGCTGGAAAGGGACCTGGGAGAAGGGATGGAGGGACAGGACAAGGAGGAATGGCTTCCCACTGCCAGAGGGTAGGATTAGATGGGATGTTGAGAAGAAATTGTTGCCTGTGAGGGTGGGGAGGCCCTGGCACAGGTTGCCCAGAGAAGCTGTGGCTGCCTCTGGATCCCTGGAAGTGTCCAAGGCCAGGCTGGAGCAACCTGGGCTGGTGGAAGGTGTCCCTGCCCATGGCAGGGAGTGGATCTGGATGAGCTTTAAGGTCCCTTCCAAGCCAACCCATCCTGGGGTTCTGTGGCCCCACCATCAGGACTCTCCGTGACTGTCCTGTCGAGCTCCACCTCCGAGTGCTCGGGCAGGATCTGCAGAAGTCTGTGGCTCTTCCCACTGCAAAGGGACTTGTTTGCTTGTCCAGGGGGAAGCAGGTGTTGGGCAGAGAGTGGAAGTGGAGGAGTCAGGAGTGGGCAGGAGGCCTTGTCTGGCTGCATGGCTGAATTCGGCTCCTGGGCAGTGATTTATTTGCATGATCTGACAGGTCTTCTACTTCTTCTGCCAGAACTTTTCCCCAGATACAAACCAGTGAAAAATTGAATGAATAACAACAGAATTAAAATTACAAGTGCTGCCAGTTTTCCTTTGGCGTGCTCAGAATTACCCCAGATGGGAATGTGATCTCTGCTGCAAATGATTAATCACAGAGGGATTACATGGGGAAATATGACACTGGTAAATGTCTGAGATTTATTGGAAAGGGCATCTGCATTGACTTAGTTTATTCATGCTTTGTTGTCAGTCCTGTCCCTTCCAAGGGAGCTGTCCTGGCACTTGCAGAGAGTTATTATTTCTTTTTTAAGTTCAAGAGTTATTGAAATTTTTTTTTTAAAGTTTAAATGAACATATAAATAACCTAAATCAATGTAATTATTTACTAAGTTGATTGAGAAGTTACAAAGTTGATGAACAAGTTATGCTGCAGAAATATTAAATCTTGTCCTTTCAGCATGTTAAATTTGTTCTCTCCTTACTCCTAAAAATAATTATGAGCATAATCCAATGTGATGCATTTTATCCCCATTTAAAATTAGATAAAATGTGATTTATCTTATGCAGCCTGTCTGGCCTGTTGGATGTTTTGGATACTTCTTACAGCCTCATCCTTGCCACAGGTTAGACTTTCATGCCTGTTACTGGATTTCATGCTCTCAGCACATCATAAAACAAGGGTGTTTTACTCCTTTTTTCAGATGAGGGCTGAAGATCCAATAGTTTGAGTGTCTTTCTCTTATTCATCTAAGTAATTCAATAGCAGCGCAAGGAATAAACTGTGTTTTTCTTTCTGACAGTGTTAGAGATAACTGTAAAAGGTAGTGATGAGCCCTGTTTTCACTGATCCCTGGATTTTCTTCTGGATCCCTGCCATCCATGATGGAGTAAGAAATCACAGTGGGAGGGCCTGTGGTGGAAGCTGTGGGAAGTGCTGGTTACACCACAGGCTCTGGGGTCTTCACCCTGCCCTGGGAGGTCTGGGGACTCCCAGGGATGGAGAGAAGGGAGTTGCAAACACCAGGCAAGTGTTTGGGAGCAGCAGGAGGAGGAGGCTGGGCCTTGAGGTCGCTGGAGAGAAGTGTCTTGGGTGGGTTTGCTGCATCAATGTGGTTCAGGAGCAAAAGCAACAGGCAGCTGGTGCAGCAGCTTCCCTGTGTTTTGAGTGTTCTTCACTATCTGGGGGTACCTGGGGTGTGTTTGGGCACTGCTTAGCACGGAAAACAGAGGAGGAGGAGGAGGATGCACAAGAGCTTTGGGATGGGATCAGCGTTCCTGCTCTTGTAAGAACCAGGCTTTGAGAACCCTCACCACGCTCTGCTCCAGGCCTGGATGCATCTCCTGGGGTCCAGGTGAGGGAGAGAAAGGTGGTTTGAGAGAGGTCACTGTTTGCTGGAAGGTCCCTGGCTGGTTCCCAAGCAGGCTCCTCTCCTGTCCATAACCATCCCAGTGCTCCAGGGACTTCCCCATGGGCAGGGCTCACTTTGGTGGAGAATTGAAGCAACTTTAGTATTTCTTTTTTTTTTTTTTTTCTCTCTTTTTGACGCTGTGGATTTGAATCTGAAATGAGTCAGAGTGACACATCTATCAGAGACAACCAGGGAGGGTAAGACATGGCCATGTCTCCTGAAGATAAATCCAAGTGCTTTGATGACACAGCGCAGCCTGAAGTCCGAGTTAATGGCCGTGGCATTATAATGGACACGAGCCCTGAGCCCGTGATTTCGTTGTTGACTCTTATTTTGTGTAGTGAATGGTGCTGCTGGGCTCTCCAGAGCTGAGCTTGAACCTCAGCATCCCCTTCTGAACACTGACAGGGTGCTTCCCCGAACTAACAGAAGACTCTGATTGTCAATCAGTTGACTTCCGTGGAAATTTCCACTGACTTCAGTGCACTTTGGCTCCAGCCCCAGGCTCGTATCTGTGCCTTCAAACCATTCATGCAGCCTCCCTGCCTGCAGCTTTGCAGGTGTTTATGGAAAAGACATTTTAAAGCTCAAATGAGGGCAGAGTTTGAAGGTATTAAGAGGGACTAAAGGAGTTCAAACTAGTTCACTGATTTCTAGACCACCTTTAGACCAAGAGAGAACCAGAGCTGTGTGTTCGTTGCAATTAGTACTGGAGGTGGCCCATTAACAGAAAGTCAGCCTGTGTTGGCACTAATGGCTTCAAGTCAATCGTTCTTTACCCTCTTAGTGTTTATTAAAAATGGTTTTCCCCCATGATTTTTTTCCCCCTCCCCTCCCAGGTTTGATATTTGAAACCGTTTTCTTTAATCTCCCAAGTTTTGTGGTGGAACAATGAAATTTGCTTCGTGCCAGGAATCAAAAGCAACTGAAATTAGTTTAGAAAGGAACAATCTCATCTAAAGGGAAAAGCCTTTGACTGCTTCTTGTCATTCCATATATTCTTTGGGATGAGAGAGACAGGATAGGACGGGACATGGTAGATTTTTTTTCCTGTTAAATTTAGAAAGAAGTTTTTGCCTTGGATCTGTGACCCAAATGAAGTTGGAAGTTTGGCTCAACAACAGCATCTTCAATGCTAATAATGATCACAGAAAACCACAATTTCCTGAGCTGGAAGAGACCCACAGGGATCATCCAGTCCAGCTTCTGGCCCTGCACAAACACCCCAACAACCCCACCCTGTCCCTGGGAGAGTTGCCCAAAAACTTCTTGAGCCCTTATAACAAACACCATTTGGTGGTTTTGTGACCGCTTTCCCAGTCTTTTGTTTTTGATGGCAATGCACATTTTTCAATCCTCAGCAGCATAAATGGAATGAAAATTGCAATGTTATTCATTTTCATGCACGACTTGCCAGGTACCTCAGCAAGTACATTGTCATATATCTACTGTAAATGTAAGTATTTCGTAATAACTGTCAAGACCATCCCTGTCTTGATATGAAGAAGTAGGAGGGGAGCCAAAAAACAGGGAAAAAAGTGATTTTTCCCAAGGTCATGCAGCAGGTTGATCCAACCCCTACTGCCTGGGGGCCACCAGTGATTTCCACATGAACGTTCATGCACTAACAGGAGCTGGGGAAGAATTGAAAAATGGTGATTTCAGAAGTGAAAGCAGGTTTTTTGGCCCGCTCCTGCTGATTTCTGCTGGAGCTGGAGGGGGATTGTGAGAGCACCTGCCATTGGGTGAGAGAGTGGGTGGATGTGTGGCCAGCAGGGAAACCAAACTGCTGGAGGATTAAGGAGGATATTTCTGTCTCAGTGACTGGTTTTTATTTCCTTTCTGAGTTACAGCACACAGAGCCCTGGTCCTTTTGCTTTTTTGTGGCGCTCTGAAGGTGAAAAAGCACAGATGTGGGAGCAGCACTTGGATCACTCTTGAGTAGGACCATTCCTAAAGCTCAGACAGGAGCTTTCCAGGACAGGGATGTCTGGAATCATGAGGCCAAGGAGATAAAACAGCTTAGAGGGAAATGGTGCATTGCAGTCTTCTGAGTAGGACTTAAGCAATCTGGCCTAGTGGGTGGCATCCCTGCCCGTGGCAGGGGGGTTGGAAATAGGTGATTTTTTAGGTCCCTTCCAACTCAAATTATTCCATGATTCTTTGACTTCCAGAGAGGCTTGGAGCTGGGAAGCTCAAATTCCTTACAGAGCACTGTCAGCACCGTCAGCAGGTCTAATCCTGCTCCCAGGGAGAGTCAGCTGGTGCACAGTCAGTGGTGTCAATGGAGCTGAGAGCAGGTCTTTAGCTGTGCTATGCTTGTCAAAGCAAATCCTACCCAGTCCGTGGAAAAGGTCTCTCGGAGGGTTAGAGGTGGAATGACTCCAGCAGAAGGGAAAGGACATCCAGGAGTGCGTGTAAGGAACAAGTGAAGAAGGAAGGAGTGTTTGTGGGGTCTTGGGGGGAGTGCCCTGAGGGAGGTGGTTGCTGTTGGATTGAGCTCCAGCAGCACAGGGGTGGGTGAAGTCTGTGTGTGAGTGAACAGGGCTGTGAGGATCAGCACCACTGATTGCTTTGGACTTTCGTGGGACACAGTGGCTCCAGAGTTGCCAGGAGTTTTGTTTTTCAGCTCTGCTGGTCCATATCATCAAACAGCTGCAGGTCAGTGCACGGGTCCCCCTGAGGGCAGCTGAGAATAAGCAGGTGATGAAACATCTCTCCTGTAATCCCTAAGCCCTGTGGGGCTCTTCTGGAGAAGGCTGGCACTGTCTGGATTGCTGTGTCCATCCCCTGGGGCAGTTCCTTCACGTGGCTTTGTACTCCTGTGATCATAATCATGGAATAAGAAAATCAGAGAATGGTTTGGGTTGGAAGGGACTGTAAAGATCATGGGGCAGCCACAGCTTCTCTGGGCAATCTGTGCTGTGGCTGCCCATCCCTGGAAGTGTCCAAGGCCAGGTTGGACGGGGCTTGGAGCAACCTGGTCTAGTGGAAGGTGTCCCTGCCCATGGCAGGAGGGTTGGAACCCAATCCAAGATGATCTTGAATGTCCCTTTCAGCCCAAACCATGGCTCTGTGATGGAGGAAGTATCTTGATGTTTAGACAAATCTCTCAGAATTTAATATCTATTTATGTCCTTATGATTACAGAACTTGCCCATATCTTTCCCAGCATTAGTGCAGGTCACTTCCCCAATGCCAAAACTGAAAGGGACCATCCATGTTCCTTCTGTATAAACTGCCCAGAGAGGTCTATTTTGTCTCCCATGGGGAAGTGATCTCCCTTATCCATCAGCAGTTTGTTAACCCCAAATATGAGAAACCTTCAAGGCCAAAAACATTCCAAGGCCTTCTCCCCCAGGCTGAGAAGGACATTGAAAACATGGCTGTCCCAGATGACAAACATCCTGGTGCCACGGGAGTGCAGCAATTCTTTGCTCGCACCCTCCAGTCTGCTCTCTCCTGACGTTTTTTTGTTTCTCCCCGTTTAGGAAGGCAGCCAGGATGGATTACAGCTCCCTCAGCGGAGTGCCCCGCTTCCTGACCCGGCCCAAGGCGTTCATGGTGTCCGTGGGGAAGGACGCCACCTTGAGCTGCCAGATCATCGGGAACCCCGTCCCGGTTGTGAGCTGGGAGAAGGACAAGCTCCCAGTCCAGTCTGGGGGGAGGTTTAAAACCACAGAGGACGGGGATCTCTACCGGCTCACCATCTACGACCTGAGCCTGGAGGACAGCGGGCAGTACATCTGCCGGGCCAGGAACACCATCGGGGAGGCCTTTGCAGCCGTCAGCATCAAAGTGGGGGAGGAGACCACGGTGACAGAGCAGGCCCCTTACTTCATCCAGAGGCCCTCCAACATCAAGGTGACCCTGGGGGAAGACGCCATGTTCAAGTGCAAGGTGCAGGGCAGCCCTCCCCTCTCGGTGAACTGGGAGAAGGACGGGAGGCACCTGCGGAACCAGGCGGAGGCCGGGCGCTTCCAGATCGAGTCCGCCGGCGAGTCCAACGCCCTGACCATCCAGTGTGCCCGGCTGGGGGACAGCGGCACCTACACCTGCCGGGCCGAGAACCTCATCGGCTCCGCCAGCGCCTCGGCCGCGCTGGTGGTGGAGACGCGCGGCTCCTCCAACCCGGGCGGCAGCGCCAACTTCGACTCCGGCTGCGGGAAGACGGCGTCCCTGCTGTCCCACCTGCAGAAGAGGCGGGAGGAGATCAGGAGGATGGATGTCTCCCACGGGACTCTGGACTCCACCTCAGCCCAGGCTTACTCCGAAGGGCTGCCCGGCATCGGCTACGGGCTCTCCCGGGACTACGAGCGGGCCCTGGGACTCGCCAAGGGGGCTCGGAACGCCGCCCTCGGGGCGCTGACCCGCACGTGCAGCGTCACGGAGGGCAAACACGCCAAGCTGAGCTGCTACGTGACGGGAGAGCCCAAGCCGGTGATCGTGTGGAAGAAGGACAACGAGGTCATCTCGGAAGGGCGGCGGCACGTCATCTACGAGGACGACCAGGAGAACTTCGTGCTGAAGATCCTCTTCTGCAAGCAGGTGGACAACGGGCTGTACACCTGCACGGCCTCCAACCTGGCGGGCCAGACCTACAGCTCCGTGCTCGTCACCGTCAAAGGTGGGTGCTCCTGTTTCCCACGGGCCTGCCCAGCGCGCTTGTGGGTTGGGGTTGGGGTCAGGAGCGAAGATGCCACCAAACTCCTGCAGAGGAGGGGGTTAGATGAGAACAAAGGTGAGCTGGATGAGGACAAAGCCCTCCCAATGAAAAGGGGGGTTATACACTTCCCTCACTGGGGAGCTTTTAGGAAGGGCATTAAAGAGGTGCCAGTCAGGGATGGATGATGTAGAACTGGCAGGCTGTGGGAGAGCTGGGATGAACTCCAGTTTTCTGAGCAGGGCTTGGACAACTTGGTGCAGTGGGTGGCATCTGTACCTGTGGCAGGGGGTTGAACACAGGTGGTCTTTAAGGTCCCTGTAAGATCTCTAAAGGTCCTGTCAGTCCTGGTTTTGTAGTAATCTAAGAGATCCATTATTTTCATGCTCTGGATCAGTGGCTGCTAATGCCCTGTCTGACCCTCCATGCTTTAATCACATCTGGGTTTGTATTCCCCGCAGGGTTTGCCCAGACTGACACATGTGCCTTTTAAACAGTAGTAGTGGAAACTCCTCCCTACAAGCAGAGTGTGTCTGGCTGCCTTGGAGGTCCCTTGGGGCACCCACCCCAACTCTAATTACAGTCCATCTCAGTTTTCCTGTACAGTGACCCACCGGCAGCCTTGTTCTTGCCAGGCCTTCAGCCTTTTCCCAGCTTGTGTTCCTGGAAAGCCTGTATTCCCTGTTTGCTCCCAGGAAATCCACCAGGTCCAGGATGACTCTGTTTGCCATGGTCAGTGGTGGGAGAACTTGCCTTCAGAGGGTCCCTCAATGCTGGTGGAGGTCAGACCAAATTCTGAATGGCAACAAAAATGTGACATACAGATTTCATACAATCCCAGAAGGGTTTGATTTGGAAGGGATCTTAAAGATCATCCAGTTCCAACCTCCTCTGCAGGGAGACCTTCCACTAGACCAGGTTGTTCCAAGCCCCATCCAGCCTGGCCTTGGACACTCCAGGAGGCTCTAAATGTTCCAGCTGCTCTCCCATCTGGCAAGGGGACAGCAGGCAGTTTGCAGCCCAGGCAGCACCTGTAAATTAGCTGCCAGAGGCAAAAGGTTTTGCCACTGCAGTGGTAAACCAGATTTTAAAAACCAGACAACCGTGTTTCTCCCTGGCAGCACAAGACACTGGAAATCCAAATGAGCAGGAAACTGCGTTCCATGCTCATCTTTTAAGGCTCTCAGCTTTTTTTTGCTTTTCTAGTTTCCCTTTTCTGGACCTCTCTTTTCATACTATCTTTCCCATCAGTGGCTCAGCGTCCGTCAGTGACACCTGATCCATGGAGCTCGCTGGCACTTGTCCCACCCATTGCTGTCCCTCAGAGGTGCTGAGTGATGCTGGGAAGGACATTTGCCCTCTTCCATAAAGCTGGGATTACCTCAGAGCTGAAGGCTGACCCTGGCCCTCGGGTGGGCGATCACTTCGAGGGTGGCTCAAGCCCCCGTTCCTTGCACAGACAAAGAGCCCCTGCTCTGCCTGTGCTTGTGTCAGTATCCTCTTTGGGTGCAACCTGTTCCAAAGCAGGTGGGAAAGCCTGGGAAGCAGCAGGTCTGGGGGCAAGGACCACGGGAAAAAGGTTATTGATCGATGGATGTCCTTTGTCCAGGGGGTGCCTGTGAGTCAGAGGGATGGAGTGGAAATGTTTATGGGATTGTTTCTTTGTTACCCTGTGCCATGTTTGGCTTTCTATCCAGGCCAAGGCTGCCATGGAAAATCTGCATGTCGTGGTTATAATTAGGCCCTGATAAATGACTCTCCCTTGTGTCACCAGAAGTCTTGGGCCTGTAAGGGGCAGCCCCAGGTGCTTTTGGTCTCTCTGCAAGTAACAGAATGTTTAGACAGCTTGAGATGTTGCATCCACACCATGTGTCCATAGACACACGTACCAGGAAACACAAACTTTATGGATGTAAATATCCTCTGGCATTTTGGTTCGCAGAATTTTAACACAAGAATCTGAGTGAGAATTTTTAGGGGTCTTTTAAAGTTAATAATAAAAAAAGACCCCCAGACTTCCTAGCCCAGCGTCCTGCCTGTAAGGTGGCTCTTAGTGGTCTAAGTGGCATAAGAGTGGACACAAGTCAAAGCTCCAGGATCACAGAATCAGACTTGTTTGGGTTGGAAGGGACCTTAAAGAACCACCTTGTTCCACCACGGGCAGGGACACCTTCCACTAGACCAGGCTGCTCTGTCCAACCTGGCCTTGAACACTTCCAGGGATGGGACATCCACAGAAAACCTCCTGCACTCCATCAGTTTAGATCCTGGAGACCTGAGGACCTACAGGACCCAGGGTCCCAACACATCTGGGAACATTTTGCTGGACTTGTGCCTTAAAGATCATTAAGAAATGAGAAAAAGAGATTTTTCAGCTGTTCCTAAACTAGATTTAGTGAATCAGACTTAAATCTCAAAGGAGAGGCTACAGGGCAGAGAGTCACCCTCCCAGTTAAGGAAAACTGAAACTTGATTAGATTTAGAAATGTGTCCAGAGCAGGGATGCAATCACAGTCCAGACACTGAATGTAAAAGAAGTTGGGAAATTCTTCCCAAGATTAAACCTTTAACAGACCAGACAGTGGGAAGGATGAGAGGAACATGAATAAACCAGGTTGAGTTTCCTGAAGGCTTTGGAGGTTTCCCCAGGCTTGTAAAGTTAGTGGGAAGAGCATTCATGTCTCCATCCTGGGCCAAGCAACTGAGTCCCTGAATAAAGTAATCAGATCCTGTACGGAAAGGTTAAAGGTTGCAAGCCAAAACAGGGAAAAACAGGCTGGTGCTGAGGCCACTTCATTCTCCCTCTGATCTGGAGGCATTTTGGGTGAGTCACACTGGAGATCTGAAGGAGAACTGCAGCTTGAGAAATGTGGAGTTAGTAAAGGAAGCTCGGAAAGCCCAGGGACCAGGAAGGCCAAGGGCACAAGGTGGTGGAAGCTTGTCCATCCATCTTCAGATAGCTCCCCTTGGGAGGATTTTCCATGTCCTTCCTCTCACTGGATCGTTTTTTGGGAGGCAGAGGGAAAACTTGCCCCTGGAATAATCAGTGGAGCACCTGGTAGGACACCATCAATGAGCAAGAGGAAAACGTAGGCGAGTGAGAAGGTGAGGTCCAGCAGACAGATGTGCCCCGGGAAGGTTAAGGAAACATTGGCTTCTCTGCAGGCTGCACCTATTCTTAGCAAAAATATGTGTTAGCAGGATTTACTTCTTAAAAATAACATCATCTCACTGCCAGTTTGCTTGTTATGGACCAAACAAAAAAGCCTATGACACTCTGGAGAAACATCTCCTGGAGACGAGCGGCCAAATTCACCCCTGAGCTGATTTCTTGCTGTTTCCTGCAAACTCCACGAGCTGCCCTTGCTCTGTGCTCCCCCTGTGGTGGGAAGGTGGCTGTGCTGTGGTGGGTTTTGGAGCCACTGTAGCAACTCCAAAAAGGAGTGGGCTGGGTGCATCCCAGACTTTAATTCAGTTTATCAGCTGCTCTCTCTCTGAGGCTCCATTCAGAGTGAGATAAGACTCGTGTGCACATGTCAGCAGGATGAAAGCAAAGTTGTTTTCAGAGGGTATCTGTGACCCCAAGGTACCAAAGATAGCCTTGTACTGACTTTCCTTGGCTGGGAGAGCAGTGCTGTTACTGCAACAGATACTAAAGGGTCAACCAACCCTTCTCTGTTTGTACATTTAAGAGCTTTTTCCTAGAATGGCTTTTTTTTTTTTTTTTCTTCACCTTAGGTGCTGCTTAGTGCCTGTAAAGGGAGAGGGGTTAATGATATGCCCAGTTGCTCCCAGGGTGGGAGTGCACTTGTGTTCTTCTCAGGTGCAGCTCGGATTTCTTTCTGGCCCCTGCTCATTCCGTGTGTTCCCAGGGTCAGCTCCAGCCTCCTTCCCACTGCCTCCAGCTCCTGGAGGCTGCATCCTCCTCATCAGAGCTTTCTTGGTCCCATGGAGTCACAGAATGGTTTGGATTGGAAAGGAATATTAAAGCCAATCTCATTCCAACCCCCTGCCATGGGCAGGGACACTTTCCACTAGCCCAGGTTGCTCCAAGCCCCGTCCAACCTGGCCTTGGACACTTCCAGGGATGTGGCATCCACAGCTTCTCTGGGCAACCTGTGCCAGGGCCTCCCCACCCTCACAGAAAAGAATTCCTTCCTAATATCCCACCCAACCCTGTCAGTGTGAATCCATTTCCCCTTGTCCCATCACTCCAGGCTCTTGTCCCAAGTCCCTCTCCAGCTGTCTTGGATCCTCTTCAGGTACTGGAAGGATCCCCTTGCTTGTCCTATTTCATCCCCCCTGAAAGGGAGCACGGGGTGTTTCCAGAGGGTGATACATGGGATTGCAGGGCAGGAGTCTGAGTTTCCTGTTGGATAAAGGAAAAAGGACAATTGGCATGTGGAGTGTGGGCAGGGCAGGTCTGTGGAACCACAGCTGAAGGCTTTTCAAGGCAAGGCTTTGACTTGCCTTAAATCAAGGTGCATTAAGGCAAAGCATATATTTATATATATATATATATTTTTTTTTAAATGACCAAGTTGACCTGGTGAATGAGTGTCATCATGTTCTTGAACATCCTGTATGGGTTTAATCTCAGTCTGGCTTTAATCTCAGGACAACAGCCAACGTAGTCAATAGCACTGTTCCCTCCAGGTGTCCTGTCAACCCTTCAGAGTCTGAGATCTTACTTGAATTGAGAGAGGGGAGCTGTATATCAGATATTGGGAGGAAATTCTTTGCTGTGAGTGTGGTGGGGCAGAATGGAGCCTCCAAAAAAGGCTGGGAGCTGGCCCAGTAGTTATCAGAAGGTGAGGGTACATATCAAGACATGATCTCTCATGAAGGATGAGTGGTGATGCCTCAGCACTGGCTAATCCAAGTCTGTGACCTGACTGTGGCACCAGCTGTCCAATTCCCCTTTCTCCACTTTTGGTCTGGGGTATCAGGGTGATGTCACTGCTCAGCTGTCACTGGAACTGAACATGGTTCAGTTCATAGAATGACTTCCCTCGCTGTCATGCAGCTGTTGTGTGTGTTTGATCCACACTCTGGTTTCTCCCTAAGCCAGAGCTCTGCAGCCCCACTGCTGGAGGGAGGAAGAGGCACTTGGGAGACTTGGGCTCATTCTCTAGTTCTTTGTCTTTTGCCACTGATAAAAAAGCTGATCCAAGGTCTTTGGTGCTGGTGGGGGAGCACAGAAAACTCCTCCCTCAGTTACTTCTGTGCTTTCCCCACATCAGTCCTGTGCTCAGCCACCTCCTGTCTGTCTGTGCCCTTTCACATCGCTCTGCTGAGCTCACTTCTGCTGCAAGGCCCCTAAAACATTGGTTCTTGCACCAGCTGAGCAGCTCAGCTGCTCACACTCAGCCAGAATCGCTGCTCTGAGCTCTCTCCCATGACCAGGCTGTTTGTTGTTGATCCAACTTTTGCAGGATCCCCTTTAAGGGCTTTTACTCCAACTTGGCCTTGGACACTTCCAGGGATGGGGCAGCCACAGATTTCTGGGCAACCTGTGCCAGGGCCTCCCCACCCTCACAGGGCAGAATTTCTTCCTAAAATCCCATCCAAACCTCCTCTCATCACAACCCCTTGTTCCTCCCTCCCTTCCCGTTTTCACCCTCTGAAGAACCCGCCATCCCCTTCAAGGAAAAGCTGAAGGATCTCGAAGTGAGGGAGAAGGAATCTGCCACCTTCCAGTGCGAGGTGCCCGTTCCTGGGACAGAGACCTCGTGGTTCAAGGAGGAGACCAAGCTCAGGCAGAGCAAGAAGTACAACATCGAGGAGGAGGGCACGTACCGCCGGCTCACCGTGCAGAACGTCACCGCCGACGATGACGCCGTTTACATCTGCGAGATGAAAGAAGGGAGCAGGACCATTGCAGAGCTGTCTGTCCAAGGTAAGGTGGTTTAGATGGGGCAAGTCTTGCCTGCCAAGCATGAGATTTGTGCGTGAAACTCCAGATTGGACCTCGTGAGCGGCGTTTACCACATCCATGTGTGCAGTGGAGTGGAGTCTCTTGGGGTGTGAGGGGAATCATAGATTATCCTGGGTTGGAAGGGACCCGCAAGGATCACAAAGTCCAGCTCCTGGCCCTGCACAGGACACCCCAGCAACCCCATCCTGTCCCTGAGAGTGTTATCCAAACCCTCCTGGAGCTCTGGCAGCCTTGGGGCTGTGCCCACTGCCCTGGGGAGCCTGGTCAGTGCCAACCACCCTCTGTGGAAGAATATTTTCCTAATATCCAACCCAACCCCTCCTCCCCAACACAACTTCGTGCCTTTAAATAAAAAGAAATGGTTGGTCAGTGGGTCCCTGGAGCTCCTGCCAGGGTGTATGTGGGACACAGGGTCAGAGAGCAGGGCAGGTTGAATTTCTGCACAGGGTACGTCACCCTGTGGGGGCCTCTGCTAAAAGAGCCTGCTGAGGTGTCCTGAGCTGCACCCCAGCACGGCAGACTTTCCTCAACATGACCACGAGCACCAGGTGGTTCCCCTGCTACTGTCACACGAGTCTTGTGTGGTGTCCTGTGAACACAGGGGTGAATCTTGTCTGAGGGTGGTGCTGACCACGCTGGGAAGAGGGTTGAGCAGCTGTGGTTTGTGGCCTGATGTGTGGTGCAGGCTGCAGTCAGCACCAGGGTGATTTAGATTGGAAACCAGACCCCCACTCCGGATCCCTGGTAGCTGGAGCTGTTCTCTGGAGCTCGGAAAGGCGACAAGAAAAGGATAAAATGTGGATATCCAGGTCTAAGTTCTCCTGAGTCTGGCGGTTTCAGACTGAAGTGGAAGTAGGGGTAGAGTTGGGATGGTGGGAGGTATCTCACACTGAGTAGACACAGACAGCAGAGTTGCAGGCATTGGAGGCCTGTCACAGCTACAGGATTGCTCCTGTCCTGACTCACTGGAAGCCTGGTGTTACTCCCAGCAAAACCAGGAGGAGTTCTCCACTACATAAACTGCTGTGAGACAAGCTGGGTGATGCAACATCCTTGTGCAAATTCCTTTTTTGCATCATCAGCAGAGGGCTGAGAGCGCTCACAGGTGGATGCAGGAGGAAGAATTTAGTCTGGAGATGTGGGATAGTTCAGACTATCAGGCACTAGTTGTTGCACCTTCCATTAGGTCTGGAACCAGCCAGACTCTGTGAGTGTGTTTGGCCCCAGTGGGACAGCTGGTGTTTCTTTGCTTGTTTGTGCTGTGATGGTATGTTCCATTGAAGAGAGAGTGACTGAACCAGGTGGAGCTCTCTGGAGAGAAAGGAGGCAGAGCCTTGTGCCTGCCCTGAGAGGAGAAGACTGGAGAGAGAAAGATGGGTTTGGGAGGATGTGAGAGCATGGCTGGACGTAAAGGGATGCAGGGGTGGGGACACTGCTGAGGGCAGTGAGGCCAAGGAGGAGGATGAGCAGAGAATCAGGTCTTGAACCCTACTGATGAAACCTGTGGCTGACCTGTTGCTTCATGAGGGAGTTTAACACTGCTTCTCATCACACAGCTCTGGGGGAGGGCTCTTCCACCTTGCAAAGACTGATCTGGGGCTGGAGCCTGTCCCCATCTGTCAGCTGGGGTTGGCTCCTCAGCCTTTGCCCAGTCTTTGAGGTTATTTATTATGTGATAATAATCACAGTCATTTGGAAAGGACACAAGTAAGTGCAGCTCATTCCACGTGAATTTCTGGGTTGATTCTAAGAAGAAATTTGGGGTTTTTTTTGTGTATTTCCTATGAATTCAGGTGGCTGATGCATTTGTCACCTTGGTTATTTAACTTACTGCTAACTTTGATGGAGGCAAAATCCCAGAGGTAGACACGAGACTTGCCTGGCTTAAGACTGACCTACTTCAGCAAAGTTTTAATTTGAATTCCCAGCGTATCTGGGCATTGAAAGCTGTATCACTGTCAAATCTACTCTTGGCAAGGCCCATGTACCTTGTGTTTACCCGCAGCAGACTTCGTGTGGTAGATGAGAAACGTGAGTGACTGCAGTCAGACAGGATTGCTTTTCCTCTCTTGGAAGGCCAAAATGAGTCCTCAGGATTATCTGTTCTGTACCCTCAGAGCCTTGGAATTCATTTAGGGGTGTCTGCATAGTGGTTATAACGCTTTGATTAGATGTGGACTCGTCCTGTCACAGTCGGGACGGGCCAGCGCTGCCAAAATCTTTTTAGCGCCTGCTATTTGCTGACCAGGATTGCTTTCTCACTTTGAAGGGAACATCATTAAAAAGCTCCCACGGAAGACTGCAGTGTTCATCCACGACACAGCCACCTTCTGCGTGGAGCTGGACAACGACTGCCACAACGTCCGGTGGCTCAAAAACAAGGAAGAGGTGAAGCCCAGTGACCGAATCTCCATCACACGCTCCGGCAAACAGCACACCATGACCATCCGAGAGTGCAAGGTGGAGGATGCTGGGGAGATTGCCTTCCTGGCTGATGAAAGCAGGACTTCCACCCAGTTCACCGTGACCAGTAAGATCCCCATTCGTTTTGGCCTCGGTGTTGTGTCTGCCCCGGTGAGCTCCCGGGTTGTTTTAGGAGCCATCACGGTAATTTCTTTGTCCAAAGGCAGCAGAAGGTTTGGTTGTCTGCCCTCAAAAAGCCAACAGCCTGAACATGAGCGCTGTGAGGTGTTTTGGAGGGATCAAAACACAGAGAGAGGAGTCAGAGAATCACAGAAAATGGTTTGGGTTGGAAGGGACCTTAAAGATCAGCGGGTTCCAACCCTCAGCTGTGGGTCAGGACACCTTCCACTAGACCAGGTTTCTCAGGAGCACATCCAACCTGGCCTTGAACACTTCCAGGGATGGGGAACTCACAGCTGCTCTGGGCAAGAGCAGTCCCAGAGAAGGGCATGGCACAAACGTGTATCTCAGTTGACAGAGCAGTAGCATCAGGTGCATTGTAGTCGGGATTGGACCTGAAATGAGATTTTGGTGAAGTTATCTAATTTTGTTTAGCCTTATTTTGATGACACTGCATTTCCCAGCCAAAACCTGCTTCATTTAAGACAAAAACTGCACATGGTTTCTGGCTCTGCTGCAGTTCTGGTCTGTATGTGAACAAATAATCCATTCTAGTCACAATTTGGGAAGAATGATGCTTTTTTTCCTCTCCCCCACCACCTCCAAACTGCAACCAATCAGTGGCAAAACAGAATCTTTTATTTAAAGATTAATAACTGCTGTGGTATGTAAACTGTGCTGGGACATTCTGATGCCAATGACCTAAAATGAGGGAAAAATTCCGAAGTGTCACATTTGACTTTGTGACAGTTTCTAAGGTGTTTGGAAAGCTGTAACATCCAACCAGTTCAATGGGAACAACAAAGTTCAGTTTGATTTGTTGTGGGGAAAGTGTAGATTGATGGAACAGAAAAAAAGGTAAGAAGCTGCCTTCCCACAGACAGGTATCGCTGAGGAAAATATTACATTACCATTTCTGATGGTAAGGTCAGGAGATCTCATTCCAGGGCTTAATACTCAGCTTAATGTTACCCTAGTGGGACCTTTGACATCTAGCTGGGACCAGCAGTTACTGACAGGCTGGTAACTGTGCACCCCAAAACACTTCTGTGTCTATTTATGTAAGGAAGGAAAAGTGTATCGCCTTGAGATTTCCTATTTTTACACTTGGTGCATCTCTGACCATCTGCTGGGAGAACCCTGTGCACTGGGCTCATGCCTTCTTCAAATTAGCTGGGCAAAACTGGTGCTGGCTGTTCAAAGAGCGTTTACAACACTCAAGCAGTGTTTGTCTGTTGTTTGCTCAGTGCCTTGCATTGTTACTACGCCCATTTTAAAGACGAGTAAACTGAGGCAGGAAGAGGAACAGTTGTCCCAGAGCTCAGTTTTCAGTTTAGGCTCATCCTACAGGCTCCCTCCATGGCCAAGAATACTTGAGGATGTGCAGTGTGGGATTGTTTCCCCCATCTCCCACACCTTCTTTGAGCTGGGATGGGTTGCTCCCGAGTGTGCTCTTATCCACGGGATTAAAGTTGGGATCTGGTTGACTGACTTAACCCAGACACCCTTCAAATAGCCTAAATTAAATTAAATTAATCCTTTGCCTCGTCATTAGAGGTGTAACTGGAGCATATCAGATAATTCCTCTCCTCTTGATGGGTATCAGTGGCAGCACACAGTGAATAACCCTGATGGGACTTGAGTCTTCTCCGGAGGGTTCAAGAGGAATGAGAAGGCTGAACATAAATATTCTTTATGTAAATACCTGCAGGGAGAAGTTTGTGGCCTCAGGAACCATAAAATACCCACACCTCTGCAATTATAGGGCCTCGCAGTGGGGACATGTCTTTATGTAATTTCCTTTAGAAGTTGACCCCCAAAATCTGGTTCTGCGTAAATTAGTAAAGCAGAGATCCCCAACGATACTATCAATTAGCTGTAATTAAGATGAAGTTACAACAGACCTTCTGAGTGGGGATAACATGAAATATAGAAGCAGGACAGAGAACAAACACCCAGATGAAAGAGGCTGCAGAGAACATCTAAGCCTGTGCAACAAACATCTGAGATGTCCATAATCCCAGAAGGTTTGAGCAACCTTTGGTGGTGGTTTTACCCACCTTATGAGTGACAATAAAGAGGTGAGTGTTAGTCTGCTTTGCTCAGGAGCTGTGTAGGCAGCAGGATGGGTCTGTATCTAGCACTGAAGATTTAAGAAGTCTGCAAAATGTTTGTCAAAGATTGTCTCTGTTGACAGTTTTAATGTTGTGTGGAAACCACACGTTACTGCGGAGATGAGGATGTTGTGCACTAAAGGTTGGACTCGATGATTTCAGAGGTCTCTTCCAACCATAATGATTCCATGCTCCTCATGTAATGCACCCCAAAAGCATCTTCTATCCATTCCCTTGCTTTTCCATCTCACATCAGTGTTTTAGGGAGGTTTGTGAAGCAGGAGCAACTTTTAGTGCAGCATAAGCTTTCCAGGTGATGCACAGCAGCTTTTCCACTCCGACATAAACTCCCTCCTCCATTTTTATGTTGATTTTCTTTCCTCGTGCAGCGCCCAAAAAACCTCCCACCCAACCCCCAGCCGACCCTGTGGTGAAAAATAAAACAGAAACCTCAGTGACCCTGGCATGGTCCCCTCCCAAGATGGACCGGCCCATTCCAGTCGACGGATACATCGTGGAACGCAAGAAACTCACGGGCTTCACCTGGGTGAGGTGCCACGAGTCCCACATCCCCGCCCCAGAGCTCACCGTGAGCAACCTGGTGGAAGAGGCTGATTATCAGTTCAGGGTGTCTGCAGTCAACGCCTACGGACAGAGCCCCTACCTGGAATTCCCCGGGAGCGTCCACCTCGGTGAGCACAAAACCCCCGTCTGGGGGGATCAGACACACATGGGGGGGGTTTGAAAACATCTCCTGTGATTTTGAGGATGGAGCAATGGCACAGAAAAACCTTCCCCCCCCCCCTTCACCCTTCACTGCTGGTTCTCCTGCTTCATGTCAGCCCCTGACCGTCACCAAAGCTGGGTGGTGGTTGGGTTTCTGTGGTAGAGCTGTGAGTGTGCTTGTATTCCATCATCTCATGTCCAGCTGTGTGAGAGGCAGAGCTCTCTGCAATGAACCCTAAACCTACTAAGTCTTTTTCTAGGCTTGGTATGAAAGTAAAACTTGAGGTGGACTTATGATATAGTTTTCAATATATGCAGGAGATACCCATCTTACACCTAGAGAATATTGATGGGTGATGATGCCATCATGAATTCCAAGTTCTAGCCAGTCTCTCTTTAATCTTGGACTTGCTGGGAGAAATATTGGGGGTTTACTTTATTTCTAGGGTGCCAGTGTGCCCCTAGAATCATTGGGTGCAATGGGATTGCTTGTTCCTTCGATTCACTGCACCAGACAAGATTTGCAAAGACCTTGATCATACTGCGTTTTGTTATTGTGTCACCCTTTCCATCCCTTGCTGTCTGAAAATGCCCAGAATTGTAGATATTCCTAGACATTCCTAGAATATCTACAAGTGATTAGTAGGAGTATCTAGGAGTGACTGCTCAGGATCCTTCTGAAATCTAAGAATTGTGCTGGTTGTTAAATTAATCACACCCTTACAGGGAAACCTGGGTGTTTCAGGCTTATGCCTTTATATATATCAAGGGATTAAAAAATCAGTAAAATGCCTGTTCTTTCCCTGAAAAAACAGGATTTACCCTAAATTCAGGGGTCAATAACTGGAAGCTGTGGGAAACCAATCCTATAGACTGAGCATTCACTGCCTTCTGTATAAGACTGATTTTATTCTTGTGTCTTCTTTACCCCGAGAACTTCGTCCTTAGGGTGAACTGTCCTCCAGCAGGGCTGTCCTGTGCCTTGTTCTCAGAGATGTGTGTTGCTGTTCCTCCCTAGAACCAGTCCTGGCTGTGAAGAGCCCCCTGACAACAGCTGAGGCTGCACCTGGAGGGGATGCCCTGTTTACTGTCGACCTCACCAAGACATGTTCCGGCTCCTGGTACCTTCGTGGCAAAGTCTTACAGGAAAGTGAGACCTGCATCATCAAGAGAACCCAAACCACTCACACCCTGATCCTAAAGAACGTCACCAAGAAGGATGATGGAGCAGAAGTGAAATTTGTTGCCAATGATGTCGAGACCAGCACCAAGATGAGAGTGAAAGGTATTGATTTCCCTTTGTTCTTCCAGGGGAGGGGCTGTGGCTGTGACCTGATGATTAGGACTGGGGCTGGAGGCTTTCACTGATGCCTGGGCTGTGGGAAATGCCTGAAATTGCATCATGTGAACTATTGGAGGTGCTGGGAATGACCTCACCATGATAGTTCAGAGTGAATCCCTCTAGCCAGCTGGTGGTATCAGGACTAGACTGCTCACAAATTTCTGTCGTTCACAACCATCAGTCAGCGGATTCTGCCACCAAATCTACCACTGAGTCACCTTAAAATGGGAATTTCAGCTCCAGGTTCACCTGAACTTTCAAAAGTAAAGGAGCATTAATTCCTAACAAAGCTTTTTCTTGGAGGTTTTTGGCCCACCGTGTGTGTGATGTACAAGTTAATATCACACAAATTGATTTAAGAACCAAGGTTGGGTGCTTCCTTTATTAATTGACAGTAACATCTGTATCCACCCACACTGCCTGGCAAAACATAATGAACAGACATTGGTTCTGGAAGGCTGTGTTTGGCTTTGGATGAAAATCTCCTGCAGAGGCGTGTTTAGAGTATTATTAATCAGCAGAAAAACGTGGTTTGCTTTTTTATTTCTTAGTGACTCTGGCAATAAAAACACGTCACGTCTTCTGAAGTGGAAAAAAATGCTCAGCGTTGACATGAGTGGGAGGGCAGGGACAGGATTTAATACTTTTAGAGATCTCACCGTCTAAGGAAACTCACAGCAGGGACAAATCATCTCAATAAAAGTTGAAATAACAACTTCTGGCCTGGCAGGTGCTGCAGTGAGATTTACCAACAAGAGCAAAGAGGTGGAAAAGGTCTCTGCTCGGCTGAGGGAGGAAGCCAAACTCCAGGCTGAGCTTTCAGACACAGAGGCCGCAGTGAAGTGGCTGAAAGATGGGAAGGAACTCAAGGCCAGTGAAAAATATGAGCTTCAAACCGTGGGGAAGAGGCACATCCTGAAAATCCGCAGCACTTCGGCGGAGGATGCTGGAGTTTATGAGTGCACCTGTGAAGGGGACAAGATGCTCTTTCAGCTTTCAGTGAAAGGTATGTGACTGCCTGGGCTGCTTAATGGCCTGTCCCTGCCCTAAACTGATGGAGTCATCCAAGGGACACAAAGGGAAAGCTGCAGAGGGAGTCGTGGTAATTCCCCATCGACGCCCAGCCCGGGCAGTGTCCGTGGTTGCAGAGCAGGATTCCTGGGGATTGAACACAAGGTGCAGTGTTGGTTTAGTGCTAAGAGCTGTGCTCCCACTCCAGCTGGCATCCTGATATTCCATGGGAGCTTGGTGTTATTTCAGGACGCTGGGTGGTGGGCAGGGACAAAGTGCTGTTGTGGTGAAGGAATTCAGCTGCAGGGGCAGGACACGACACACGTGGTCCCCTGTCTGCCCTACACTTGCTGTGTGACATCAGACATGTCGCTGAAGGGACAGTTCAGCTCTGATTAAAGCTCTGAAGGACTGGGATCATCTTGCCATTGTGAGACTTTTTTTTAAAATCATTATTATTTGATGATTTTTTGTTTGTTTTCTCTCAGTACTGTGGTGGATAAAAAC